CGCGACCCACTAAGAAGATCCGGCGAGAAACTCAGTGGGCTGTGTCTGAGGGTTAGTTTACTCGTTGAGCCCTTCGTCGCAAGTGAAGGGTTCAACGAGAACGATGACCGGTGCTTGAGGTACCTAAAAGCACCGTTAGTGGATCGGGAGGATCCGAGATGACGTGTTTGCGGCGACGTCGACTGCTTTCCAATCTTTCCGCAGGATCGGGAATGTAGTTACCGGCGGCCACGATGAGAGGGTTCTCGTGTCGTGCCGCTTTATCGAAGTGGCGCATCGACGCCGACTGCAGATACTTACTGATGGACTCTAAGTCCAGGTCGTCATTGAGATCGACGTTCCTGACGAACCACGGAGCTCCGACGGCTATCCTGCAAAAACTGGAATGACTTGGAATGATTTTAAGTTAGTGCGGGCCGCGTGAGCGAACACTACACTTGCATAGATCATGAAGGTTCGTATGCAAGTTTTGTAGAGTGTCACCTTATTTCTAAGGGACATTTTACTTCGCCTGCATATCATTGGGTAGAGGCGTCCTAGTATGAAGCAAAATCCCTTCTAATTATTGATTTGAAGTTGTCGTGGCCTAAAGGATAAGACGTCCGGTGCATTCGTATCTAGCGATGCAACAGTGTTCGAATCCCGCAGGCGAGTACCAATTTTTCTAATGAAATAAGTACTTAATAAATGTTCACGATTGACTTCCACGGTGAAGGAATAACATCGTGTACCTAATAAAAATCAAACCCGTAAAATTATAATTTGCGTAATTACTGGTGGTAGGACCTCTTGTGAGTTCGCACAGGTAGGTACCATCACCCCGCCTATTTCTGCCGTGAAGCAGTAATGCGTTTCGCTTTGAAGGTTGGGGCAGCCGTTGTAACTATACTGAGACCTTAGAACTTATATCCCAAGGTGGGTGGCGAATTTACGTTGTAGATGTCTATTGGCTCCAGTAACCACTTAACACAGGTGGGATGTGTGCTCGTCCATCCATCTAAGCAATAAAAAAAAACATTCAATGTAGAAACTTAAAAACCTTAAAAATGGTGCTTAGCCCCTTCATCCACTCATGTCTTCAATTCTAAGGGCGAGTGAATGCCTCTGTCCATGTAGTGTCATCTAGCAATCAACGCAATAGTAATCACGCTTTGTTCTACAAAATGCCATTCGCATTTCCAAAAGGCCTAAAGTCCGATGAATTTGTTAAGTATACAAATGTGTTTACCTAAGAAAAGTGTCTAATTAAATGTATTATTACAGTTGAAGTCAGGGGTGTGTTATTTGCCGTACAAAGACGGGCAACGTAGATTTGTCGACTATCGTCTCGACGACTCATTGGTTGGGCATCATCAGGGTCTGGTTGTAGTGTTGACCGCGAGAACTCCCTTACTCTGACCGGGTTCTGACCCCGGACGGAGATCGGACGTCGGGTGTAAGAGTGCAGGGGAGTCCTTTAGTGCTTTAAAACTTCTTGTGCCTGCGATCTGCTCCCAACATCAGCAGATCGTCAAGTCCCACATACCCCGCGCATCCCCTAGGCGTGAAAACCCCAAATGAGGTTCGGTCCCTGCCCGGAAAATAGGGATGTACCATATATGTATGTACATATGTTTGCAACTTCATTTTACCATGACCCAATTGCTTGAGAAGCGGACGCACACTTGTTTAAATACATTACGCAATCGGTTTTAAGCGGTCTCGCATCGACGGTCTAGTCGAGTAGGTAGACGTAGACGAGTTTACGGCCCACCTGATATTAAGTAGTCACTGCAGCCCATATACAATAACGTGAATGTTTTATTTTTTATTATTGTTTAGATGAGTGGACGAGCTCACATACCACCTCATATTATAGGGTTACTGGAGCCCATAGACATCAACAACGTAAATGCACTACCATCTTGAGATAATTAATATATAAGTTCTAAGGTCTCAAGTACAGTAACAACGGATGCCCCACCCTTCAAGCGTAAACGCAATACTGCTTCACGGCAGAAATAGGTTGGGCGGTGGTACCCGTGCGAACTCACAAGAGATCCTACCACCACTAAGTTCCGACTAATGGAAAGGAGGTCAACTGTCACTCATGGACATTGTCAATTGCAGTCGTTGATTATTACTCGAATCTGTGACTACCTTCAGGCCTCGGATGGAAGTTTCAATTAGATGATAGATGTCATTGAACCGGTTGGTTTTTTTATGAATTTGGGATTACTGGTGGCCCGAAGGCCTCTCCAGTTTCACCAGGACAGGTGGGCGAGCAAAGGCTCAGCTAGGAGTGGTGGGATTAGCTAACAGCTACCAGAGCGCCTCCAAAGGAGACCATAGAAGGCATTGTCACTAAATATCGGTTAAATCGCAATATGCCCACAGTATTTTCTTCAATTTACGCGCAATGGAGTTTGACATTTTTTGTTCTAATTGACACATAGATTATAAAAAAAATTACGTTCCTAACGGAAATTAAACTGCTTTAAATAAAAGAAGGGTTTTTCTTATACGATTGTGATAACGTGTTTAAATTTTTAGCAAAACTGCAATAACTTGTTATTTTGTAATCAGGTTCGTATGTTAAGATGATAACGAGTTCAAATTATTCCACTTCTTTTACAAAAACATAATTAAAACTACATTTACATTTTAAGCTCGTGTCTTTTTAATTTTTTTTTTTCATTTGTGTAAAGTATCATGTAAAGTATTCGATTTGAATATAGGAATATATAATTATATCTTATAATATGAGTAAGATATAGCCGCGACTCGTTCTCCAGTGAATCCCTTAGTCGTCTAGCCAAACCCCACTATTTTGTACAAAACTAAACCATTGTTCGATTGCAGGTTGCATACAATTAATAATTACGATATTATAATATACTAGTGATCGCCCAGTACCTAGTCGAAATTCAATCATAATTAATTAAAATTATAAGTTTGAACATTAATATGATTAGATAAAACTTTACTTTTATAATCACAGATTTCGCCAAGACTACATTATGGACAAGTAATATTAAAGACAAACAATATTTATCTATTCTCAATTTGACCACAGACTTTAACAATGAACAAAAGAGTATATATGCGTGTGTGTGTCAAATACACGGTAGTGTGTGTAATGTTTTATTTATCGATTTAATGTATGTATTTCTTATTCATAATTTTAAAAAAATAGCAGTCTGCACCGCTTCTCTATGTTCTCTATAAGTGTGAGAAATTTCATACTCCTCCGTCTGCGCAATTTTCGTAAAAAGGTGTACAAAGTTTTTGCTTCACGTATTAATATATAGATGTAGGATTGGTAAGAACGGAACGTATGAATAGAGTGTGGAACGGAGCGTTAAGATGTTAGTGAGAGAAAACGGAAAGAAAGAGAGAAGAGAATGACAGATAGAATGACAGAGAATTGGAAGATGGCGAAGACGATTGAAAAATGAGTAAGACGTAATAAAATTAGTGTTAATTATTAATTACTATTATAATGGAAGATTTTGGAATAGTGTAACTTTTATTTTATGCGCTGCGATCCCTATTCTNGTGGAACGGAGCGTTAAGATGTTAGTGAGAGAAAACGGAAAGAAAGAGAGAAGAGAATGACAGATAGAATGACAGAGAATTGGAAGATGGCGAAGACGATTGAAAAATGAGTAAGACGTAATAAAATTAGTGTTAATTATTAATTACTATTATAATGGAAGATTTTGGAATAGTGTAACTTTTATTTTATGCGCTGCGATCCCTATTCTACATAGATATTATATTTCTCTTGTATATTTATTGTAATGTGATACAATATATTTTAATGCGATAAGGCAATACCACAGCACGTTTGTTTGACTGATAGCGAGTGCCTTAAGCATCAGTCCGCCACTGTACCTACCTACTATTGTCTTCTTAGTCGTTTGATTCTTGATAGAGTGGTCGAGTTCATTGCGTAGCTTTTAAGAAGGAAGGTCTGAAACGTCTTACGGTACCCCGCCATGTCTTGTGCATAAAGTTAAATACCTAAATAAATAGTTTACGTCTCGTTTAACACTAGTGGTGGATATTCAAGTGTTTTTTTTATATTTTTATTTATTCAGAAAATTAAATTGTCTGTGTGGTTGTCGTTGCTCGTGAACATGGGCATTGTCGCTGTCAACGAGTGTGCTTAGAGCGAAAACTAAAGCCATCTCATAAACTTTATACTACTTAGTCGAAATTTTAGAACTAGATTTATACATGATTCAATTTATAATTTTTTTTAAATGTATCAAAATAAGTATTGAGTTTTTAACCTTTTTTAATCTAAAACTTTATTAACAATTATCTACAAATAAACCATTGGTCAATAAAATCGTATAATCTAAACTAACAAAATTATTTACAAGTTAGTAAAAAAAAAAAAACCACAAAACACAGGAAACATGAATATACACTAAGCTCTACAAGAATTCCTCAAGTGCTCTACCAGCAGGTAGAGCTGCAGGTGTAGAGCACGACCAATGATTGATAATGGCACATTATGCGGCCGACACCGAATGTCGTTTTGTACCAGAGGAGGCCATTGAAGTAGCGCGATAATAAAGCAAAGTGCCAAGAAAATATAGAATAATACCGGCTGTCCGGTACACGACCCCCGTCTGCCGACCCCTGGCCCCCACGCCGCGGACTATTCATTTCTCACAATTAATCAAAATTATATCAGCGCTGCCATTTAATACAATGTCGGTTTAATTCGCTTGTCGATAAGGCTCTGTTTCGAGTACTGCGGCGTCACGTAGGCGTGTCCCCCGCGAAGAAATCTGGCCAATAGAGTGCGGTAACAAAATATCCGTATTGGCTATAAGTAGGCTCCGCCCGCGTGGCCCGGGGGGCTGGTGAGTGATTTCCGAAACGGCGCATTGTAAGTCAGCGGGGGATCCGCTTGCGTCCTTTCGTCGTTGCGGCTGCCGTAAGCGTTTCAGTTCCGAAACGTCGTAACGTGTATCGGGGGGGTGGTGAAATACGATGGTTTGACAGTGAAGCTCGGGAGCCAGCACGCCGAGGGGGGTCCTCTCGTTTTTACAAAGCGCCCGGCGGTGTACCGCTCAGAAGCGCTGCGGACGCCGGACAGAGCGCTCGTGTCGCGTTTTTAACACGATACCAACAATTTTCCGCGAATTTCAATCGCACCTAAATTCTAACTTTAAGTAAACTTGTAGCCTAAGCGAGGCCTAATCTACTCTAGTTTAATAATTAATAAGTGAATTTTCTAACATTGAATTAGTGTGACTTGTAAACGAACGGTCTAATATTGTGATAAAATTGTAAAAAAAAAACAAGACAAAGATACATGTCTTCAGTTATGTAAGCTGAGATCGTAGCGAGTGGTCAGATACTGTTTCGCTCAAAATGCAAGCGATGAGCGCTAACGCAAGCGCTCCCAGAGCACCCCAGCGCTCTCCATTCGCCATCCAAGAGCTGCTAGGTCTCTCCGATAACCGCGAGAGCAGAGAGAGATACTTCGAGAGCCGAGATGGAGATAGAGTACTCAATTTATCTGAGAGCAGAGAGCCCCGGTCGGCTTACACTCCTCAGTTTCCTCTGCCGGCCTCTGTTGCGAGTCGCGTGGCCTATGCAGCAGCTTTCAATGCTCAAGCCGCAGTAGCCGCAGCCTTCCTCCCGGGTCCTCCATTACTGCATCATCCACCAGGTAAATACCTATAGTATTTTGAGATTCTCACGCGATTTAACTTTGTAATTTTGGCCTAAAACACAAATTAACGTTATCGTTTCTAATCAACTTTGAACTGTTAGATTTGTTTCATGACAAAATATATTTTGTTTGTTGTGCAATATCGGTGTGAATTTACAATTCCGGTACTAAAATATCCGATTTGTATTGAGCGAAATATTGAAATGAAGATCAGTTTAGATAGCCAAGCAGACTTTTGAAAACGGTAGAATTAAAAGGAAGATTTACATGACACTGCTGTTACAACAAACATTGTTACATCATACTACCTGTCCTAGTGAATGAAACTGGAAAAGACTCCGGGTCATTAGTAAATCATAAAAAAAACATTGTAGTTAAATATTTGCTTCATTTGAACTAAAACATTAACCTTTGCAAATGGTTACAATCCATATTAAGACACTAGTGAATCATTTCTACGAAATATTTACATATTGAAAGTATTTAGTAAGGATATTATGATTATTTTTTAAGTTACGCATCATAATCTTGATTCAACAATTAATGTAATCGAACCTCGACCTAGTGAGGTTTTGATTTTGGCTTTTAATGAAGACCTTTATTGAGAAATGTGTAAATTAATTCTTTGAATGTTCATAGTGGTGTTTTTTTTTTATAATTATAATTAGCATTTTCATACGACAGGCGATATAAAAGGTTGTGTGTTCGCTTTGAAAATGCCGACGGCCGGCTCAAATTACTCTTATTGTTCAAGCGGTTATAATGTGGCTTTTGTCTTTAATTTTGAAGTGTTTAATTCGTTTAGTAAATCCTCATTCGAGTAAACACAGATTTGGATGCGTTAGGATAATCCGTAAACATATGCGTCTAGGAAATTATAGCGTTTATAATCAGATATAAAGCAATTTCATAAAAAACTACATACATATCGACGCTTGAAAGGCAAACGTGACTAAGCGACAATAACTGCTTTATACATTAATGATAGGCAATAACCATATTCGATGCGCAAAAAAAAAATTTTTTTCTAGGACTATTAAAATCATTTCAATCCTATAGCTAGATTCGTTAAAATAGATTTTGTTTTCAGGTATTTCAACTTTAAATTAGTCTACTGTAAAGTTCACGCATTGTCGCTTAGTCACTTTTGCCTTTCAAGCGTCGATATCGTCTTTTCGCATTAAAAGTGTACAATTTCCAAAAATATTCGAAATTGAGTTAATATGCGGAATCATTTGGTATCACCAGTATTTTTCTCATAAATACTGTCAAAAGAGCGTAGTTTAGTCTTAGTTTTTTTTTTTTTTTAGTTTACCTATGTTTTGACTACTATCAACAAAATTAATACATAATTTTATCTTACTTTAAAAAAATAGATAATGTAACTGGTAAAAAATAAAAAAGAAATGCTGCAAAGAAGATTAATATTAAAAATATCACATGTGAAACCTTTAAAACACTCTCCTGTAAAATTAGTTAGTTTTGAGATTATACAGTTTTAATGCGAGGAGACGATATATCGAAGGATGACAAGGTATTTGGTTTAAGGGATATTTCGCTTGATAAGCGACATTTATCTTTATAATTCTTTAATTACAAACATTACGGACCTTTGTCCGTTTTATTCGCTATAAGCATCAACAGTTCGATCTTCTTAATTAAGCTTCAATTAATTTTACTCCATTTAAATGGCTGATGAATAGGTTTTTTGTTATTACTTATATATATATATTTTTTCGAATTTTAAACTTTAAATAGCTCTCTTGTATAAAAAGTCGCAAAAATGTCGCTTAGGATAAATAGCCTTATACCCGTTGATATGTATATACAGTGTAAAATATATAATATGTGTATATCAAAGTGGCCTAGTCCAAAAATTTTCATATCCGTGCTTATATATTGCAATTTATTTAAAACATAATAAATTTTGACGCAAAACCATTCTATCCCTAGTTTCACCCATAGATAACAGATCGCTTAGTTTTTTTTTTTTCCTAACTGTGCTGATAGACTTGAGAGGCTATATCAGCTTCGCCCTAACGTGTAGGTGAGCTCACGGGGCTCAAACCGGAGTGTTGCTAACACTGACCCTAGCAAGAGCAGTGCTTCGCAGAATCTACCACCGGATCGGAAACGCGACCCACTGAGGAGATCCTTCGAGAAACTCAGTGGGGTGTGCCGCGTATTATTTTTGCCTACGAAGCAGTGTAAAAGTAAATTCAAAAGTCATTATCTCCATGCTGACTATGGTAAGCTTACGCCGCTTTTGAGCTGACGACCTCAGTTGTACTAATGGTCGAATCCAAACGGGTTGGTGTCACTGTTCTGCCTATTTCTCCTGCCAAAAAATTCTGGTATACTAGTTGACTCGGCGAACTTTGTTCCGCCTTAGAGGCAATAAATGAGTAGACCTTTGTTTTATCGAGATCAATTTTTTATTTGAATAATTAATGTAAATTGAAAAAGCAAGTATTGTAATGATTCTTTATTGGCCATGTATTTTAGTTGTTTTTATTATTATTATAGTTTCTTGTTCTTCTTCAGTCCTTTCACTCGCAATGTTTCGAATCCTAGTTGCATTACGGCTTCGTCGGGAAAGATTTGATCGTGTTGGTCGCGGCATGGCTTGCTTAACGATTACCTATCTCGGCACAATAAGCTCCCATATCAGTTGCGTTTTGTTATACCACGTTTTATATCACGTCCCACGGGAACGTGTATCCTATGTCCTTCTCCTGGTTATAAGCTGTTTCCCCACCAATTTTCAGCCAAATCAGTCCAGCCGTTCTTGAGTTATAAATAGTGTAACTAACACGACTTTCTTTTATATATAGGTTATAAGCTGTTTCCCCACCAATTTTTAGCTAAATCAGTTCAGCCGTTCTTGAGTTATAAATAATGTAACTAACACGACTTTCTTTTATATATATAGATAGATAGATATATCTAAGTTTTTTAATGTGTTAGAATAGTGTTTTAATATTTTTCACAGCATAGTTTTTAATTTGGTTCCTGTACCAGTACATTAAAATAGGTTAAATTTAACACGACAAATACCTACATAGTTAATTGTAGTGACTTCAAAAACGATAATTTGTTTGGAAAATTAACTTTGTTCGTCGCCAAAATGAATGGCGCTTATATCTTTCTTTTTTTTAATTTTACCAATTAAGTGGCTTGATTTATTTTAATTGAATAAAATTAGTAAATCTTTCGTTAGATAGTGATAAGATCATTATCAGGTACTTTATATTATTATAAAATCTACGTTACATCCAACTGTCTTCAGAAAAACAGTCTGGTTGAAGTAACTATGTAACAAAAGATATTTTATTTTAGTAATTAACGAATTAAATGTAAAATTTATAAGTTAGCATTTTAATGTGTTAGACGGCACGATCTATATAATGTTAAATGATTACTGAAGCTCATAGGCATCACAGTATGAATGCTGCCCTTCAGCTTGAGGCATGAGGCCGAAGCATTAATAATAGTGGCTACCTTGCCCTTCACGGAGGAACACAAGACTAACAACATTTCTAAATTAACCTTAGAAAACACAAAACAAATTCGATTTTCTTTGTTAAGGTTCTTTGATAAGATTCTTTGACTGGTGGTAGGACCTCTTGTGAGTCCGCACGGGTAGGTACTACCGCCCTGCCTATTTCTGCCGCGTGAAGCAGTAATGCGTTTCGGTTTGAAGTCTGTAATGTTGTTAAAAATAGCTTATGTTCGGAGTTAGAGTTTTAAACATCTAGTGATACTAAAACACATAAAATGACATTATTTGCGGGAACCATTGAATTTCAAACGTTTGCTATTCGTATTAATTAACAGAAATTTAGGATTATTGAGCATATATGAGCATGGTTGTCTGGGAAACGATTCAAGAACCAATCTAGGCAAGCACTCACCTGCTCCTCGTCTAACTAACCTTTATAATAATCTAGTCAGAAAAGCTGAAAACCTTGACATATTTGGCGATTCCCTTCCAATATTCAGGAACAAAATTATAAAAAGTTGTTGTTGAACCTCAGCCTCGGCCTTGGTCTGAGCACTCGGGTATTACTGTCCTTATTTTCTTTCTTTTGTTTTTATTTTTTTATTATTATTAATAGTATTGTTAAATCTCTATTGATATATTAATGTAATGCATGCTGTGATTGCCTCTAATTAGAGTTGCAGTTATCAATTGCTCTATACATGTCAATGTTATTTTATGTCTTACTGTAAACCCTGTCGGTAATCCTTAAATAAATAAATAAATAAGTTTAGTTTTTTACTTCATTTCATCAGCTTAAACTAAAAATTAAATATCTCATCGACTAATAAAGTCCTGTAACATATATTAATTTACAAAATATAGCTTTAAAATAGTAGAGTAGAGAAGAATTTCATCTAACCTTTTACCAAGATTACTAATACAACAAATAAACACAGAGTGTTATTTTAATTTTAGATAGTTAAATTGACTCAAAAATTTCAATAATGGATTCTACCAATCTAATAAGATTACCATTAACTAATATGATCATAGTTCAAAAGTAATTTTAAGGGTTTCCCTAGTCTTTAACATAACTTTATATGCTTTTACGATTGAATCTCATTTTTGTTCTTTTAAGCATCATGATATTGTTAGTTCTCTTTGAGTACAAAAAACGCAGATTCCTTTTTTTTTGGTCGGTTACTCGCCAAGCTTCGATCTGGTTCGAAACAGTTACCGCAGCTCAAAATTTAAAAGCAATCCCCAATCCTAAGGCAATATTTCAAGCTGGAGCGCACGAGTGCTCCACGGCAGGAATAAGCTGGATGGCATTATCCAACACATTAGGCCTCGCCACCAATAACACAGTGATTTCTAATTCATTTACGCTGAAAGACGAGCAAGTCGTGTCTGATTATTTAAACGCAGATATTAGGAAGGAGCACAAAACGATGTTGGGACATTCTAAACGATCCAAAAAAAAAACATCCATTCACGATAATTCGAGAATGAT